ACATGAGTTGGGTGTAGGAGGCTGGTGACATGTCTAGGGTAGACAATCACTGCCCTATTTCCTTACTGTATGTTCGTTTGGAAGTGTTTGAGATATTTATACCCAGACATGGGTCTTTTTACTCGTTTTGAACAGAGCACCATTGAACGCAATTTTTTTTTAGAAAGTTGCTCAGTAAAAATTGGATTTTGTAAGCTTGAATACACAGTGCCATTTGTTCTCTCTTGGAAGCAAGTTAATATTCATTTCGATATATAACAAGCGTTTGATAAGATGAACCACAAATTACTTTTGTAAAAACCGTTATTCTATGGTGTAGCATTGCCACATTTAAAATCGATTAATAACTAGCAACTTGCAAGATGAGGACGGCAGCGTGAAGCTTCAGTTGCCCTCACTTTAGCACGAGTTTCATACATTCTTCAATGCTTTGAGCCCGAGCATTTGCAAGACACGCCCATACGTTCTCATTCCGTTAGGGACTATATCTAGCATATTGCCCGAATCGTGTACAGGTCTTGAATAGACTATCGCATGTTTTTCTACCAACCTGGGGTGTGCCTCGAGGATCAAATGTAGGACAACAAGAATTGCAGGGAGGAGCCTCCTACATTTGGCAATGCTTTGGCATCTTGCGAGCCTCAACAATGCATGCGCAGACAAAGCATGACAAAAGGCAACATGTGCTTGCTGGAGGCTGGGCGTTAAGAGAGGCCCTGCGTTTCCCACCTTGTCGGCGACTATTAGCACCGAGATGTTCTGGTGGCATCTTTTTTTGTTCGCAACATCAGGGGCAGTTTGACACTTCAGCACCATGTTCCAGATAAAAAAAGAAAAAAAAAAGAAAAGAAATTTAGCCTTTTTACTCTGGTGAAGAAGGAAGAGCAGCGGAGCTGCAGCTTCTGTTTTCGGTGGTGGCTTTTCAGGCGAGCGATCTGCTCTTCTTTCGTAAAGGAATCTGAAGCGCTTGACGCAGTGGAACTTTAGGTAATAGCAGAACCATACGCGCTGCTGCGCACATCGCTGCTCGTTCCGTTCCCGCTCTTCTTCCTCCTAAGAAATGTTGCCGCCATCTATCAGCGATGGCAGCAACCAGTTCTCTGGTTGCCAAGGCTGGAAATGTTGCCGCGATCTATGAGCGACGGCGGCAAACAGTGTTGTGTCGACCACAGGTGTTGACATTTGTTTGGTACCGGACATGATTCTGGGGAAACTAGCCCTTAACAGCTCTGCTGTAAGAAACACCTTTCATGCAAGGCTTGTCAAAATATTAGGTGCTGGAAAATATTGGCCATACACATTCAGTCCTCTTCATGTCCTGCAGCCACATTGAAAAGCACTGCAAACAAGTACAATCATACTCCTGATCTCGTCACAACTGTCTCTCCTCCTGTACAATAAATTCTGCATGCTAAGGTCACCAAATGTCAATAGATGCATATGCCAATGCAGCAACTGAAGCCAGCTACAGCCACACCATCTTCCGAATGCCAAATTCCTACCAATGCAACAGTAGCTTGGGCTCCGAGCTAGGCAGTCCCCCCTGCAAATGGTTTTATGCCATCCCTTCAATTTATTTCTAAAATTCTATAGACCTTTTTGCCCTCCGTCGCATGGGCACTGTGATCTTGAAATCATGTGACACAGCGGCCATTAGGTGGCTTCAAATTGTCACTCGCTTCTCCCCTTCGCGTTCTATTCATGTTTTCGTCGCATTTTACTGCAATTTTACAGCGAAGCTGTATATGACTCCGTTGGTCAGGTTTTTTTTCCGTCTGTTAACAGAACAGTAGTGGACAGAAAAGCATCGTGCGGCGCACCTTGTCTTCTATCACATAGTTTTGACTAGTCTTGTGCGAATAGTGGATTTTGAGTTCGAAGCGAATTCAAAGCGAATAGTGGTTTTGGCCGAATATTTTCGATTTGAATATCGAATAGTTTTTTCACGCCTTTCACTACCATTGCATAATGCTTAGACGAAAACCCAGCGCAAACTTGTGAAGGTTGTTCCACTTGTTCATTTATAAGCTAAGTTTAATCTATCTATATTTATGAACAGTGACCTCAGAAGGTCTGGTGTCTTGGGATGGCAAGTAAACGACAGGTCTGATATAAAATGAATCCTGTAGAGATGGCCAACTATACCCAATGGAGTTAATTTACAAATCTTGCTGTATAAAATATTCTTTCTTTAATCTCGAGTCACAAAAGAATGAATCATGCATGATGAACGCAGGTTGTAAGGGCATCTCTAATTAACATAGTATACTCTTGCATAACAGTTTAATTTTAAAATTTTTACTGCAATATAGATATACACATTCACAAAGTTTTCATTTATTTTCAAATGCAGTCGACACAGGCGCACCATCCCGCTATGAATGTATGCTTTACTTCCAAGCACGCAATTATGATATTCATACTTGTCAAAGTTTATCGCGGCTGGTTACCCCATTGAGTGCGCTTCTTACCAAGCACCGGTGCGCTGCGGAGTAGCAACACCCGCGAAGCTCGCGTCCACGAGTATTGCTTCTCCGCAGCGCACTGGTGCTTGGTAAGAAGCGCACTCAACGGGGCCAAAGTCGAATTTGGGGGTTTTACGTGCCAAACCAACGACGGGCATCTGGCACGCCCCAGCGGAGGACTGAGGATTAATTTCGACCACCTGGGGATCTTTTGACATGCAACCGAAAGCTCGGTTACACGGCGTCTTCTCCGCAATAAGCCTCCGTCAGATTGCGGGCACCTCGGCCGCACTCAACGGGGCCAACCCGCGGCAATCAACACTTTGAAAAACGCGAATAGTGCTGTTCTTCTCGAAGCGAATATCGAATAGTGTATTATTCGGAACTACTATTCGAAATTTCGAATATTCGCACAACCCTAGTTTTGACACTTGTAGTTTTCAACAAGAAAACCACAAGATAGATGATAAGGCACGCACAAACAATGCGAAGTACATAGCTCCCCGCATGCGTCTCGGTAAAAATTGCGGTTGCGTAAGCTGCCGTGGCAACGGCAGCGTACAGCCGTTCATCTAGACCCTTTTGCTGTTTACAAACATGAACTGCCGCTTGTGTCCCAAGTGACTTCCGGTCGCTCAGTCTTTGCAAGCCTGTTGAGCTTGTTCATGTCACCAGCATACCTCGGCAAACCTCACTCATGAGGGCCCTCACTCACCCTCACTCACCCTCATCTTCACAGGTGAGGTGAGGGTGAATGAGTTTCTGAACCAGGAAAATTCATGAGTGTGAGGGTGAGTGAGGGTGAGTGAGGGCCGTGAGGGCTGTGAGGGCGGTGAGGGCCGTGAGGGCGGTGAGGGCCGTGAGGGCGGTGAGGGCCGTGAGGGCCGTGAGGGCGGTGAGGGCCGTCAGGGCCATGAGAGCGGTGAGGGCGGTGAGGGGTATGAGGGCCATGAGTGCGTGAGGGGCGTGAGGGCGGTGAGTGCCGTGAGGGCCATGAGTGCGTGAGTGGTGTGAGGGCGGTGAGTGCGTGAGTGGTGTGAGGGCCAAGAGTGCGTGAGGGCAGTGACATGAGAGGCGTGAGGGCCGTGAGAGCGGTGAATGCATGAGGTGTGTGAGGGCCATGAGTGCGTGAGGGTGGTGAGTGCGTGAGGCACCCTTCAGATCGAGCATCTTTCTCAGCAATTTTGGTGTTAATGGCGGGTTGTTCTCTAGCTTTCCCTAGATCGACACGAATTGCTGAGATCGGGTCCGGCTCGAAATAAGCAAGCAACTCGGAGCAATTCGAATACGTTTGAAGCGGCTGCATCCAATCAGGGACGCAAAATTTTCACGGAATACCTCGTGCCGGTGATAATGACACCGAAAGACTTGGTTCTGGTTTGAAATCGATCGTTTTTTTTTTTTTAAATAAACTGTTTCAGAAATGTGCATTAGTATTCTTAACGAGATTTAAATGCATAAAAACACGTTTATAACGCGTAATTGTGTCTAAATAGTGCAAGAAAAATAAAATTTTATGATGACGATGGCAAATTGCAGCAATTGGTTGCTGCGTGTGATCGCGGGCGGCCCGTGTTGCTGGTGTTGCGACGTAAAGTTTCTGGGCGAAATTTCCCCATCCGAAGCTGGCCTGAGTGGCGTGAGGGCCATGAGTGCGTGAGGGGTGTGAGGGCCGCAAGGGCGGTGAGGGGCGTGAGGGCGGTGAGTGGCGTGAGGGCGGTGAGTGGCGTGAGGGCGGTGAGTGGCGTGAGGGCGGTGAGTGGCGTGAGTGGCGTGAGGGCGGTGAGGGCTGTGAGGGCCGTGAGGGCGGTGAGGGCGGTGAGTGGCGTGAGGGCTATGAGTGCGTGAGGGCCGTGAGGGCGGTGAGGGCCGTGAAAGCGGTGAGTGGCGTGAGGGCGGTGAGGGCCGTGAGGGCGGTGAGGGCCGTGAGTGGCGTGAGGGCAGTGAGTGGCGTGAGGGCCATGAGTGAGTGAGGGGCGTGAGGGCCGTGAGGGCGGTGAGGGGCGTGAGGGGCGTGAGGGGCGTGAGGGGCGTGAGGGCCGTGAGGGCGGTGAGTGCGTGAGGGCCGTGAGGTTCAGTGAGGGTGAGTGAAGGGCTGAAGGTGAGTGTGACTGTGAGGGTGAGGATGAGTGAGGGGCTGAAGGTGAGTGTAGCTGTGAGGGTGAGGGTGAGTGAGGGGCTTAGGTGAGTGTGGCTGTGAGGGTGAAGGTGAGTGAGGGCGACCTAAAATGCCGACCTCTGGTCACCAGTGCTAGAAAGCATAATCTCCAACATACATCAAAGTTGGAGACTTAATGAGGGCATTTGGCTGTACAATTTAATGTCTTGGAGGAGGCAAGTTGGTGTACAAATTATTTGAAACATTTTAGCATATCTCGCGTTTCTTCATTCTTTTGGCGCTCACCTGGAGTATTGGTGGTTACACGTTTTATCGACATTTTAGGCAGCAGTGTCAAAGTGGGTTTTTTTCATTTTTGTTATGAATCAAAAGTTCGCTGAGACGTCAAAAACACTGAAGCACCGCCCGGTGGCGTTTGCAAAGAAAGGGGTCTATATAAAAGAAGTTTTGGTACACTGCGTTTCGACTGTAAAACGTGGTCGGCAGGTAATGCGCACTGTCATAAAAGAAATACCAACAATTTACTTATATGAAAGACACGAGGGAATGTGGTACAAGACTTGATCCATCAAGAGGCGCTGGGCCTAAAGAGAACTTCCATCTTGCAAGGCTTGATCCACGATTCAGGGCGGTTTGAAACCTATGGTGTATGCAGAGAACGAAAGTGCCTATTAGGTGAACAGAAACAGAACCTTATCCAAACATTTAGGACAACGCACAGTAGTTGGGTGCAATAAACTCGCACTTGAGCAAATGTCGGTTTAACAAGTATTTCAGAATAACAAACTTTAAAAAATCTATGGTAGTTTTCCTTTGCATTCTATGCAAAAATGTTTCCTCTACGAAAAACAAATTTCGGAATAGCGAATATTTCAGTTCAACGAACTTGATCGGTGGACCCAGGATTACTGTTGTGATCAGTTCAACGAAGTTTTGTGCTCTGCAGTGCTGGCGTAGCTGATGGCCGCCGCCGCCTTTGCAGCAGCGGTGCGGTAAACAAAAACGAACCATGCGGTGCATATTTTTTTTTCTTTATCATTGGTTCCTTTCGGCCATTTTAGTTTTGGGCAACAATGGCAGTTTGTGCGCCCACTTACGTAATAAGTATGACGAAATGGAAGCGGTTGTCTCTCAGACAAATTGAAATACTTTCAGCGTCTGGACAACGGCCAAAGGCAAGTGAACGTTGCGAAGGACTATCGGATGCTACTGTCGACGTTGTCAACGTTTGTGAAGCAAAAGTCGAAGCTTGAAAGAGAAGCTGCAACCAATCCCAACAGGGAACGACTCTGCCCAGAATATTTCAAGCCAGTGGACAGTGCCGTTGCGGTACGACTTCCTCACAGCAACTAGCCGTGCCAGAGGATATGCAAAAAAAAGATACTCTCTGGGCAACTTTGTTACTTCATGCGCTTTCAGAGCGCTGGTGCAAATGAAAATTATTGACTATTTTCAAAATGAAAAAGGCAGCAGCGTAACTGTAATACACTTTGTATATATCAATGTACATGACTCCATAAACTGCATTTCACCCTTTTGACTCGATGCATGCTGTGCCCTATGCTGTTCCATATTCCAGTGAATATATTCAGTTTAGTGGACTGCTAGTTAAGGGAACTATTTCCTTGAGTCCCTAGAAGTTTGCTGAAGTGAGAGTTTACAGTATAGAGTTCTAGAACTTAAACGATACTGGCTATTGAAGAATATAACAGGCAGCAAAACATTCACCACAACAGAGACCTTGAAACATGCATTGGTAGTCCAGCAAATTATGTTTCAAAACAAATTTGTGTTCACAAACAAGAAAATTGCCATTTTAACACACTATTGAGGCAAAGGCTCTGGTAAGGCCTCATTCATACAAAAATTGATCACTAACCCGTAAGAATGTCCAGCAATAGGTTTCGTGGCACTTTAGATTCAGATCGTTGTATACCCTTCTGATTTTATCCCTTATGGGAGGGGTGAGGATGAGAGCTTTTTTAAACAAAATATAATGGTGCAAGGTAACTAGTGTAGGTAAATGTTAAAGGGGCCATGAATCGATTCTTCAACTTCCTTCTTAGCTTTCCTCAACTTACAAATTGTGCAGTATTACCAAAGGTATGGGGGCGTAAGTATACCTCTAGCAGCTCAAGAGGAGGAAAAGGAGGAACTCCCCTCTTGCTCATGGCGCTTGGATCCTCATTTTTGTACTCGCACGTCACCATTCTCCCCCTAGGAAATTGGCCCTTTGATGCTCGTCGCTCAACATTCAGACAAAAGTTGCCAATCCCCCCCTCCCCAGCCTGTGGCTTCCACAGTACTATGCACAACTAGCATATAAACCGGAATATAGGTCGAATTTATTCTTGAAATTGGACCTAAAAAGGCGACCCTCGTATTATATGACGGTTATTAGCGGAAAAAACAAAAATAATCTCGCAACACTGGGTGCCTGAAGATGCCATTTTGTTTTTCTTTGCAATGGCCTAGCACTCGTCCACTTGTCACGATTCACTTTTACTTGTGCTCCTTGGTTTGTTACATCTACCGTTGCAGCTCCCGGAGCAATACTGAGCGGAAGTAGAAGACAGTTCACAGTAGCCTTTGAGAGGAAGGCAATCGCCTATGCAGAGATCCACCGGAATCTTGCAGCGCAGCGAGAGTTCAATGTATCGGAGAAAAGCATACGCTACTGGCAAAACCAGAGACAAAAACCGGCGGCGTGCAGCAAGGCGAAGAAAACTTAATTTCATGGAAGGACTGCAGTGTACCCCGAATTGGAAACAAAGGCGGCAAACTTTATTCGGGATCTGTGCGCCAGATCGATACTTGTGATGTCAGAGAGCATCCGTATAAAAGGCGTTGAGGTTGCTCGTGCCTCCGATCTCTCGAGGGCGCAATTCATAGGGACGGCATCGTCCCTTTGAATTGTGTTAGTGAGCTCGTCGTCGGACGAAGGCTCCGAGGAATCTGAGTAGTAACACTCGCATACTTCCTGTTTTATTGAGTGCAAAACAATTAAATAAATCGGCCGTGTTTTCTCGTCCTTTCATATACTTGGACAATTTTGTCACCAAGGTAAGGTTGCATTTTCTTGCCATAAAAACTTTTTTTGCATCTTGCAACTTGTACATTAAGGGGTCGACCTATATTCCAGTTTATACAGTATCTTCCGTGCACCTCTAAGCCGACAGTGCTGTGGAAACTATGTGCTCGTTGGGCCGGTCACACCTGCATCTTCAGCCACATGATCACGCTCCTTTGCGCATACCCACATGTGCAGAATGGGGTCAGGTGATGGACAGGAGGGCGGGCGAGGTTTGTCAACTGAAGTCCCAATTTTTCACCCCCGCAAGGATGGTGAGAGATCTCGCGGCAGCTGATGTTGGTTCTGAACCTTACTTTATCCCATTGATGTATTTCAATGTCTGTGTAGCAACAAACTGAAAGAAAACTTGAAAATGAAGCACAGGTTGTCGATTGCTTGCCTCACAGAATAAATAGCCCAGCTCGCGTCCGATTCTGTTGCCCGTGGGACGCAGTTTCTTAGCAGAAAATCCCCTTTTTTTCGGTTCTCGTTCCTTATGGCGGGAAAAACCCCAGTCGTCTGCTCTTGCTCCTCTCCCTAATGATGCATGACGAGAGTGCATTCAGGTGCACACTTGATTCTCAAGATGCAGCGAGTGCCGACGCCGAAATGAACTTGCTCCATGTTGCGAGTGGGTACGCATGGGCACGAGTGCCCATGCATACATGTAGTCATACACTGTGCACGAGCATGTGGCTTCGACTTTTATCTTATTTGCGTGCAGAAGTGGCTTCAACGGCATTGCAGAAGGTACACTAGCCTTGACAATGAAGTACAAAAAGGTTTACGCCAAGTCTAGGCACTGTTGCAAGATCACCGAGCCACCACTAAATGTGTTCCGTTTCAAAATGGTGTAATTGGCAAGACTCAAGCGCCACCAAATGTGCTCTCTGGTAGAGCACAAAAGTACATCACCAGACATGAGTATCCAAAATATACTTACAATGGCTAGCGGCGCCTCATAAAAGTCATGCAATGACCCCCTGCTTGGCCACTTAAGCCACACGCAGTGCCGTGAAGGGTACAGGACAGCATCCATGGTGCAGTGATCCAGGGTCCCGCCCGTAGTGTTCCGCTGCTGCCTTGGACAAGGTGAAAGCCAGCTCATTGATGTCATGGTCCCCGGTACCTGTGGTGTGTAACCATTGTGTTTAAAGATTATACAGCGACCGACCGATATTGCAGACCTGATGGGGATCGTGCAGAATTCCGAATAATTGAGCAGTATGAAAAAATGATTTTAGCCTAAAAAACACTTTATTATTACGACTTAAAACGCAAAGTTGCTGCAGCAAGTGATCGGTGGTTTGCTGTACGGCATGGTCCTGTATGGTACTTCGCATTTCAGCGAGTCCTTTTGTCACTGTATACAGACGAAAGCATTCGGACAAGTTACGCGCTCACGGCTGCACAATGCTCGCCAACTGTGGGGCCAGTCGGTAGACTTTCCCCTCGGTGAAGGGCAAAGTCCGGTTTGTAAACGCTGTGCCGCTGGAACAAATGCGCAGATTGATCGCTACTTCCTTGGCGATACAACCGCTGCCTTCTCACGTCGACACATGGGAAATACCGCAAACAAAAGCAGACACCGTCATGACTTTGCAAGGTAAAACCGGAGGCCAAGAGCAAAAGAATTGCTTAGAGTGCTGACGTGCTATGTGGCATCAGCAACCAAAACCTGCCATTTAAAAAATATATATACTAGTTTCAAGTCTCTTAGCAGGACGTGACGTCACGACAACTGACGGCAGTGATTGGCAGGCGGTGTGCATTCTTGCCACTGAATTCATAACCTGTCACCAAATGTAGTTTTTGAACATGGCAGATATAATCTGGCCTGTTTTCGTCCACAATGCTGCCGCCTAGTCTGTCGCATAAATTATTTTTGTTGCTAAGGGGCAATCGGGGCTTTACGTAAACATAGGCTGGACGTGCGTGTGGGAAAAATAACATGAATGACTGCCCCCACCCAACATTGGCTCTTCAAACAAACTGCCAGAAAAAAATAGGCCAATATGTCAACATTTTTGTCCTTTCCCCATTTTTGGTGGCTGTCGTGTCAGATTGAAGTATAAGTAACTAGTAAAATTAAAATAAATGAAAAAATACATAACGTAAGGTGTAAATAAACTCTATAGATATAATACCAGTCCCAATGGTTTAACAAAGAGGCTGGTTTTCTCAGAATGCCCCCCTCTCACTCGAGTCCGTATTGAATCTTAATATGAAGTTGCCCCGAAAAAGCTGCAGAAAATGCACATAGTGACAGAGCCCATAAAGACCACACCTGCCTTTCAAACTAGATGCAGTACAGGACGCAGAACGGTACCCATGGGCTAGCTGCAGCTGTAGCCCAGTGCTTGTAGTATATCGCAGCTGATGGAAGGGAGGGAGGCCAGCTCCTTCCATGCCGTGGTACCGGGAAAAACAATACAGATGAGCCAATGACGTCAAGCGCCTTCAGTATTTCTGGGCATCCATGAAGCCAATCTGGGACACCAACGACAAAAAACTTCAGTAACACAGTGAACAAAAGAGTAGGCATGCAGGCGAGCTGTGAATTGTGAACACAACTACAACCCAAGGCACAAGAAAGCAGAAAGGAAGAGGTCTTTCCACTTCCTTGCATGTCGGGTTTGAGTCTCGCACGGGGTAGTAAAAAGCAACAATACTGGTTCCCTAGCCTTTTTCTGCGTCAAGAAGCCTTGGAACAAAGAAATCCTACTGGTTATTCATCTTGTTTTCTCTTCTCGGGCCGATTATAATGCACGGTGCGGAAGCAAACTGCCTCGAAGGGGCTCAACTCACACTTCCAAGAAAATGATTGCCGAGCAACCACTCCATTGTGTACTACGTGCACTGTACGTTTTAAGCAGGTCTGTTTTCTGCTAACACGACAGCGGTAGGAATGTTACTTGTGTCAAGCTGGAGAAGCCATAGTGGGGGCTACCCCAGCTACGCCCACGCTGGCTCTTATGGCGGTTCTGTGCAACGCAGACAGCTTTCCCCATTTTAACCGAGTGCCTAGGCAGACACAGAAGCAGCCACACAAGACAATCGAGGGAAGACGCAGAGTTGTACAGGCTAAGAGGGAACGACATAGTGTAGCGAGGTTTTAGTCCAGGCTATTCCTCCGAGAAATGCAGTCGGTGGAAATGTAGGTCAGTTGTTCTTGCCATTAATTTAGGTAACGAATGCAAACATTATACTATTTTGCATCTTTTTCTACTGGAATGCTAGTCACCCGCAACGAAAAAACGCCACAAACTGAAAGAAAGTCTGGTTGCATTGTTACACGGACACCAAGTCCACCAGGAAAAGCCATCTGTACCATCCACCTGTTCATAAGCGAGCTGGAGTTCATCAAAGCACAACCGAGACTCTCTCAAGAGTATTTGGTTCCTTGTCACTAGTTATTGAATGAAAACACAGCGCAGTGATGATTACTGTCAGCGCAGCCTTGCCACTAGCACTGCTGTCACTCGGGTGGCACATATTTCGCTGGCACGACATGGCCTGCGAGCCACATATATTCCTAAAAGAAAGCTGCATAGAATGCACTTACCGTGGCTAGCGTCGCCGCCCAGAGAGCTTGCACAAACCCTCCGCATGACACGCAGTGCAGTTCAGAACAGAGCAGCACTGGCTAGCCAGTTGCTGCGAAGGCTTGCAGTGTCTTGCTGCTGCAAGTCACCTCTTTCATGCCTTGTGGTACCCATCAGTTTCAAAACAAACGCTGATGAACCGCGACCAGCCATGACCTGTAGCACAAGGGGGAAAAACGTATGAATGTGCAGTCTCCTATCTGTTTGCTTTTGTCTAACGCCTCTGAGTTTTCTTTGAGAAGAAAACAGCAATGATACTTCTTTCACAGTAATGTGCAAAAGAAACAAAAACGGCTCGGTTATTATACCGTCTCATAAGTTGTGTGCAGCAAAGGCACGGGTGCGAGGGCGCAGCTCTGCAGAATGTTCTTTTTGCGCGGGTACTCGTGCAAAAAAGGCGCTTTTTATTGTCATGTGCTCGGGCCTGCGCCTTTGCTGCACGCAACTTATGATACAGAGTGTATAGCACGCCTCCGTGAGCACTCGCGTACGGCGAGAAATCCATGATATCCAGGGTACGATAGCAGGAAACCTCGCAAGGGTGCACGAAGGTGCAAGTGCGCCAGAATGTGCAGCTGGAGGTGGTGACAGAATGACATAGTTTGAGAATATGAGGTTACTTGGGTCAAAATATAGAAGTGAAAAACGTAACTTCCTTGCCGGCTGATGTTTGGAGCCATCGGAGCACGACCAACTATTTGTTGTGATCGGGGTATTACGATCGGACGCGGGTTGGTAAAGATTTGAAAAACCCGGAAGAATAAAACTTGTTGGGGGCGAAGACAGACAGCGCAGTTCGTTGTTGACATGGGATGTAATATCAAACACATTATTCCGTCGGATCAAACGTTTTGTTTAATCAGGCTTAGCTCGGAAGTCTGCCGGCAGGTCTGGGGTCGGAGGCATGCGGTTTTTAGAGCTCTTTTGGCGGGCTTTCAGCTTTCTGCGATGCGTGTTTTAATCGTGAGCACAGGCTCAAACAATAGGCAGCGGCGCCAAATGTATTTGAAACGAAGAAGCTGCTCGGACGCGTGGAACGAACACATCGAAATCACATCACAGGAAAACGCAAATCACTCACCTTTTGTTCGACGATGGTTCGCAAGACACGATTCAAATCGACGACACCCGATTCGGTCACGATATTCAGGTAAAGGACGCAACAACGTAGGCATGCCGTTCCTAATAACTCCATAAATACGGCGATACGACACGATATCAAACAAAGGAGTCGGAAAAACGCAGTCTGTAGCGCAGAAAACGCGTTCACGTGGTTGCAAAAAGCAAGAAAATAAACAAAATAAAAAAAAAATAATACGTCAACAAAGTAAAAATAACGAAAAGTTTCCTCGCTAAAATCCGTGACGTCACAGAAAACAAAACAAAATTTCTTTGTCACGTGACGTTATATTTGTGACGTCACTTCCGGTGACGTCGGGTCACGTGACCTGCCATTATTCCTCCTCCGAATCGCTCGTCTTGGCGGTAACGGGCTCCGGCTGTTTCGTGCACAACATATTTAGTGTCGAGAGCTAATGTCTCTTACATTCTACGTTTGACGTCGGATATATTCGTGACATGGCTACTCCGGGACCAAGAATCAAACGACGGAAGCGATATCTAAATGCAGATGAGCCGTACGTCATACCGCTTTCAACTTTACGTTACCAGGCGACTCATGGAGCTGGGTGCGTTAACACCGCTAAACCTTTGAACCGCGGCGAAGGTAGCTTGCCGACTGCAACCAGTTGTGGTGCCAATTTAGGCGCCTATGACCAAGGATTGGACGTCGGTTCTGCTGTCGGAGGGCTTCCAAGCCGTGATGAATGTTTGTCCGAAGGAAGAGAAGCAAACATGGAAATCAGCTCAACCGACGAAAATGACAATTCTTGGAATGTTGAACGCCTTGGTGACGAGGGGGCAGAACTGAAGTCAGTCGAATACTTCGCGGTACACGTTGACGACGATGTGTCAGGACCGGACTCAAGCGAAGACTTCGCGGAACACGTTGACGACGAGCTGTCGGGATCAGATCTGTCAAGCGAAGACCTATCGGAACATGTTGACGACGAAGAGCGGGGACCGGAGTCAAGCGAAGAATTCGCGGAACACGTTGACGACGAGCTGTCGGGATCAGAGTCAAGCGAAGACCTATCGGAACATGTTGACGACGAAGTGCGGGGACCGGAGTTAAGCGAGGACCTAGTGGAACACGTTCACGACGAAGTGTCGGGACCGGAGTCAAGCGAATACCTATCAGAACACGTTGACGGCAGAGTGCGGGGACCGGAGTGAAGCGAGGACCTAGTGGTACACATGGACGGCGAAGTGTCGGAACCGGAGTCAAGCGAAGACCTAGCAGAACACGTTGACGACGAAGTGTTGGGACCAGGTTCAGTGGAAGAACTCCTGACTCCATGCTTTGAAGAGTTCGGGGAGCGCACATTGCCCCATTCGACTACCACAAAAGCTGGTGCCATCGCAATGATTATGGCGTACGCAGTCTCCGAACGATCGACCTAGTCAGGACTAGACAAGTTGTTGAAATTAGTTAATGACTTGTTCGGCTGCGCGGTTGTGCCACCAAGTGCATACATGCTCCGGAAGCTGTGGGTCAAAAAAAAAGACAACTTAGTGAAGTATCACTACCTGTGTCCGAGCTGTGGTACAGTCCTTAAGGCTGGTCATACACTTGCAAGTTGCGATGTTTGTCAATTTGAGGAGAAGACTGAGAAGCTAAGGCAGGATGGCTCATTTTTTTTAATGCTTGACCTTCACCAACAACTCAAGCAGCTGATTGAAAAAACGAGTGTTGACCTTCATAATAGCTTGTTAAAGCTTGAATCCAGCAACTCTGACCTCATCACGGACATTACAACGGGTGTGGCTTTTATTGAAATCATGCTGTGTTTTTTGGGATCTGTATCCGCCTCATTTATAATTCTCGGGGACATAAATATTAACACGCTATCGGACGATCACCACGCGAGAGAATTCCGAGACGTTATTCATCAGTATGCATGTAGCAATATAATAACAGTACCAACCAGAGTCACTCCAGACACTGCAACGGCCCTTGACATCTGCCTCACAAACGTAGATATAAATCATGTTACGGCCGGTGCTATATTATACGATATCAGTGACCATCTACCCATATTCTGCATAAGGTCTTTTACAAATTGGAAACAAAATCGTTGTATGGACAAGTTTTGGTACCGCATAATAAACGAAGAAACGCTTAGTACTTTTGGCTGCCTAATAGAGCGGGAAAGTTGGGTCGACGTCTTTAGAGAACGCAATCCTGTAGTTGCCTATAAAAGCTTCTTGACGAAATTTAAACACTGTTATGATTCTGCTTTTCCTCTTCGGGAAAGTAAGCAAGGGCCTAGAAAAATTAGAAAACCGTGGATAACTGGCAAACTGTATAAAAGAATACGAAAAAAAAACTGCATGTATCATGTTTTTGTAAAAAATCGTGATCCCGCTCTATTGGATGACTTCAAAAAGTTTAGAAACAAATTGAATTCCGACCTCAAAAAAGCAAAGTGTGATTATTATCAAAATAAATTTCTGCATATTCACAATGACCACAAGAAAGTGTGGGAGACGATTAACTATCTAACGAGCAGAAAGCAAACACGCAGCAGCGTGAAGGAAATGTTGATAAATAACAAAACTATTGTCGGTACAGAACTTGCTGACGAAATGAATCGGCACTTTACTAGCATAGGCACGTGCACTGGAAAATATGCAAACTCAGATAACTCCATGTTGGCAGGAAATCAAATGGAATCTATCATGCTTTTTCCAACGACACCAACTGAGATTGATAAGATAATATGTAGTCTAAAAAATGATGTTGCAGCTGGGGACGATGAAATAAAAGTGCTACCAATTAAGTACACCGCGAACATAATAGGTCCTATATTATCCCACATAATAAATATGATGCTTGAATGCGGTAATTTTCCTGATGAATTAAAAATCGCGAAAGTGACTCCTGTCTACAAGGGTGGTGGAGAGACCTTGATTAATAATTATAGGCCCATTTCAGTACTCCCGGTTTTTTCCAAGGTTTTCGAGCGTGTAATCAACGACAGGATAACAGCTTTTTTTAAAAAATATCATATAATAACTCCTGCTCAGTATGGTTTTCAGAAGGAAAAGTCTGCAGAATCAGCGCTAATCGACATAAAAGATAAAATTGCGGAAAACATTGAAAACAAATTGGTCACACTGGGATTGTTTTTGGATTTAAAAAAGGCGTTCGACACTGTGCAACATGATATTTTACTTACAAAACTTAATGTATATGGTATACGAGGAATAGCGCTAAAATTAATTAAAAGCTATCTAAATGAACGCTACCAATATGTATGCCTAAATAATGGATCATCCAGCAAAATGAAAATAAAACATGGCGTTCCCCAAGGCTCTATACTAGGGCCTCTGCTATTCCTTGTCTACATAAACGATATAACGGAAATACCTGGCTCCCCTCAGTTAATAATGTACGCCGACGACACAAATGTATTTTTTGCTGGTGAGACGAAACAGGTCGTAGAAAAATTAGCCAATGATTATCTATTAAAACTCTCAAAATGGTTAGAAACAAATCGCTTAGCTTTAAATACCAGTAAAACAAAATATGTTATTTTTAAGCCGATAAACAAACGCGATCACAGTACTATCAACATAACATTTGAAGGTACGTTGCTCGAGCAAGCTACAGAGCAAAAATTTTTGGGGGTGTGGTTTACTGAGGACCTCTCTTGGTCAACCCATGTTAAAATGCTCAAGGCTGAACTGTCCCGAGTTACTGGAAGCATATACAAAGTGCACAGTTTACTACCGAATTGGCTTAAACAAACATTATACTACTCTCTATTTTACTCAAAAATGAGCTATGGCATCTTGGTGTGGGGAACTACGACAGAAACTAATTACAACAAACTAATTATCTTGCAGAAAAAAATCTTGCGTATGTATGAAAATTATAAAGGAGACAGAAGAAATTTAAGCACGCAACCACTTTTTAATAAATATAATATGCTAAAAGCAGATCAAGTATTTTATTTCAAATTATTACAATTCATACATAGAAATAAGCTCCACACTACGCCAACATACAATCTGAGCACGTACAATATTCGAGACCCAATAAGGAAGATGCCGGCAATAAGAACTAACTATGGCCGACAAAGGCTGAATTTCCAGATAAATAAAACTTTGAATAGAAAAGATATGTCTCTGGATTTCCACCAACCCTTTAATAGCTTTAAATGTTCTTGTAGAAGGATGCTCGTGACAAGTGAAATTGCTTTTTCATCTTTGTTAGTGCCGTAAACTTCATGAGTGTTATAAATGTCTTTAATTTTTGTGCATATTTCCATTCCTTGTTTCTTGATGTTTAAGTATGAGAGAAAAACCTTTTATTGATGTTTTATTAATACCACTGTGCTGTGGCAAATTTTAATGTGATGTATTGTATACTTGTATTTTTTTGCAGTCTACAACGGAAGCATGTCTTTGTTCCTGGTCATTTTCAATGATCAGTGTCTTTTTATTATTTTTTTTATTTTTCATGGTATAAGAAATGCTAATTTTGTTATATATTTTTATAATGTTGCACAAATGCTTCTCTCTATTTTTATATCGGTTTTGGCAAATGGCGCATTTTGTTTTGTTTTTCTGATGCATTTTCCACCGTGTTTTTTTGTATTGCACTGCTGAACTGTACGGGGGGGGGGCAGAGGCTCTGTCAGGCACCAGGCCTTTATCTCTGCCCCCCACGCGGATTTTTCCGCGAAACAAATAAAGGAAAGGAAAGGAAGACCTTGCGCCAGAAGGTTGCATTAGGCCAAAGTGACCTGACGTTAACCTTTAACACTGACGGAAGCCCTATTTTTAAATCTTCCAAAACGTCAGTGTGGCCTATACAGTTCACCGTGAACGAACTGCCTCCATCTGTCCGCTTGCACCATCCAACTCTAGCTGCCCTCTGGTTTGGAAAATGCCACCCGGATATGTCGGCTTTCCTAACGAAGTTTGTTGATGAGGTCAACAACATGATCCCTGTGGCATGGACACATGGCGATCGCAGTCATGCATCGAGAGCATTTGTGTTGTGCTGCAGCGTGGATGCCCGTGCCCGTGCTGCAGTGCAGAACATGGTGTGTTTCAACGGCTTCTTCGGGTGTCCGTTCTGCCTCATGAAAGGCGAGCATAAGGAAGGTATGAGTTACTTATTTTACTAATAGTAATTACTTATATCAGTTCAGAAATGTATATATGATCACATCTCCATTGTTGAGTTCAATATAGCACACTGCTTTCATTTGCAGGATGAGTACGTTATGTCGCTGATGAGGCACCAGCTCCTAGGACATCGGAGCTCCGTGCTCGAGATATGGTGCTGGCGCAGAGACTGGGGGACCCTGTGAATGGCGTCAAGGGTCCATCTGCACTCATGAACCTTAAAGGTAGTTTTTGTATGCGGAATGTGTTGTGTCGAAACCAACTTGGTATAATTTTTCCCTAGGCTTTGACCTGGTTGAGGGAATGAGTGCCGAGTATATGCACTGCGTTCTCCAAGGGGTAGTGCGGCAGTTCACGGAGCTGCTTTTTTCATCTTCCAGCTCACGGCAGCCCTACTACATGGGTAACTACTGACACTTTTTTTATGTCTGGCCATGCATGAAAAAAAGCCCTAAATCTTATTTAGTTGCTGTTTACCAACTACAGCCTAAATGCAGGTCTGGTGTCGCAAGGTTCTTGCCGTAATCCTTTATTGCGCTCTGCATGCACACAACGCAACACTGCTAGCACGAGGAAACAATCACCTGTTTTTCCTGTGTTTCATCGCTGTAATCAAAACTGATGGATGATTAAGAGTGTTCTCTTGGGACTCTAGCCTGAGTGGTAAAATTTCGTTCATGTCGATGCATTGTTTTGGCAAATGTGAAAAAGCACCGATGCCGTCTTTGCTCTTGCAGAGTGTACGTAAAGTAAATAAGTAAAGTGAAGTAAGTGTAAATAAAGATGTCGTAAACCTGACGTAGATTCAAACTTAACTTTGCAACTTTCGAACACTGCTGACATTCGATTTAGAAAAGTGTGCAATCTTTGAACACGGCCAAAGTTAGAACTGGCCAACTTAGAAGCTTTGAAGGTTTCTGTAAACTCGAGTTTGAATGTTTTGATTCCGTTTAAGAATAAAGTTTGCAACATCTGTATAGTTTCATTTTTTTTAAATTTAAGATAAATAGATTTGAAGTTTCTTTCAGGTCCAGGTTTGTGAGGTTCCGAGTCTTCGAATATCAGAGATATCCAGGTTTTACTGTTTTGAAAATCATATGTTTGTTTTGTTTGTTTCCTAGACCCAATCTTGATACACAACAGTATTGTGTTTCATTTTGAAGTTGACACATGAGCTATGTCAAGATTCCAGGCGAGGCCACAAAGCGTAAAAAGCTACCACTGCATATTTACAGTAAATGGAAAGAACTTAAAATCTTCATGAGAAATATTTCAAGGCAGGCATAGCACAATCAACACAATCAAAAGTAAACGTCCCGAAAGCATTCCACTGAAGCCAACAGCCCCGTTTCAAATGAAACTTTTTGTTGATGAAAAGTAGCTCATATCATGTTTACAGTGAAAACAGAGAACCCATTCGATGTAACCCGAGGTGGAGGCCAATACCTGCGGTAACAAATACTATGCAAGCAAAATCGCCTCGACTCACTCGGCTGACTCAGCCACTGCGCATGTGACATTGCACGAAACGGTCGAAACGAGCGAAGACATGAAGCAACTGCCTTTTCAGTTTTAACAGTTATTATGCAAAATAGTTCCGCCACGGATTGGCTTGTTTACTTCTTTAACAGGGAGGCCTGGGAGAGGCTTTGTTACAACTATCAATTACCAATGCATGGTTGTTGGTAATTTGCAGCAGTTGTTAAGGTGGCCATGCAATCATACTTGAGGCTGTAGTTTTTTTTGCAGTTTCTATCTCTGTGGTGGTCTGGGCATCCCGGGGGAAGGAGAGAATTACAAAATATTGCAGCATATTGGAATCGGACAACGTGTGGCGCTGAATGCGTGCAGCCAGTGACGTTAGTGAGAAACCTTGCCGTAGGCCAGACCCATTAGAACTTTTTTAAAGTCAAAATAAATATTATAATTGGGCGAGCTGTTAAATTTTTTTTATAAAAGTAGATTTTCTCGAGTATCAGAGATACACAAGAAATATTAAAAGTTTAAAAAGTATGTGAACGCACAACGAAAAACGACACCTCATTGAAACGCAGCAGTGGAAAAGGCAGCACAGGCACACAAGCGGTTTAGCAGACAATGCACCTAACCACATTTTTGTCGCTTTGCTCCTACATTGGCCTGTTGCATGCTTGAACAAGAGGAGGTCTTTTTCTTGTTTTTGTAACTTCAGTTTGGCTGTTTATAGTGTGTATTCACTACTCAATTGTTTTTTTCTTTTATTCATGGCGAAAACAGCTAAAAAAAACAACAACCGCATCTCAACGTGGTGAATGATGTTGATTGGGGCGAAGCTCTGGTGGTGCTTGTCTGCATAGACGCTGAGCCGCAGCATGCCGAGCCTTTCATTCGTTTTCATCCATGTCGTGCTGCAGTCAAATGCGTATATAACCACGTTCCATACCACACATTCTCTTTCTGACATGGATGAAAACGAAGGAAAGGCTTGGCATGCTGCAGCTCAGCGTCTATGCAGACAAGCACCGCCAGAGCTGCCCCAATCAACATCATTTACCACGTGGAGATCAGTTTGTTGTTTTCCCTACACGAGCACGGGAGCACGTGCTCACGTGCTCGTGACCCGACGGTGGACGGACATACGGACATGGCTAGCCCCTCAAGAGCTTCGCCCCTAAAACGAAAACGACGACAGGGAACAAACACGACAGGACGAAGCTGTTGTGTTTGTTCCTTTTCATTGTCTTCATTTTTGAGCTGTCTTCATCATGAATAACGTATACCAACTTACCCAAATTACTACGTTGTTTTTTTGTATGAACATCACTGTTCAATAAATGTTCCAATAATTTAAGAATTTTCATGTGGTTTGCAGGTGCACGGGGGTCTGTTGTCAAGGTCAATGCACGCCTCCAAAGCATCAAGCCTCCGCACTGTGTCACAAGGCTACCTCGTTCGATTGAGGAGCGCAGTTTCTGGAAGGCCTCCGAGTGGAAGCAATGGCTCCTTTTTTATGCCCTTCCATGCTTGCTGGACCTCCTTCCCCAACTCTACTGGAGGCACCTGTGCAAGCTCTCTGAGGCTATCCATATCTTGCTCCGTGATAGTCTTACGCTTGAGGAAGTCAAGCGTGCAGGTGAGCTACAAATCATTATGGTGTCACATTGTCATATAAAAAGTTGCCACTCTTTTGTCGATAGCTGGCATTTGCGACAAATAGAAAATGGTTGTTAAAAGATTGAAGTGAGGGTGCATATTGAAAACTTAAATCTTTTGATGGCTAAGTATACATGGCATCATATGGTGATAGCACAGTGAGGCAAATTATAGGATCTGAGGTCCCATAATTGTGCAGCTATGTGCAGCGCAGCTGAAAAAGCTGGGGACGTAGAAAAGTGAACAGATTCTGTTCACAATGTCTTTTCTTGATTCGAGGTTTGTTCCGAGCTCACTGCAATCATAAACAAAAAACACATCTAGCACAGAAAATTGGCACACAACATGATTTCGTAAAAGCAAAATTAAAGAGTGCAATTCTAACAGTTTTTTGATTTCTCGGTAATTTAGTCAGGTCATCAACAGAAACGTAAAAGGGGAATAAGATACCATACGGTAACTTCCATAGGCAACATAATATTCTTCAGATGGACTACAAGTCAATAAATGCATGGTAAAGTTATGTGATTGAAATTGCCAACTCCGACATTAGGAACTAGCCTCTCATCTATAAGCCATTTGTAAAATCAACATGAACTTTGAAGCACTTGTTAGCCATCAGTAAGCTATCTTTTATCTTATGCTGTCACTTTTATGAGCTCATATTAAGTTTGTAATTTGACGTGTGCGTCCACAGGCCATCGAAGTGCTTTGTTGTCGTCGCTTCTGACAGGTATGAGCAAGCATGATGAGCCCACACTCTATGTACAACTTCCCCGGGCTTTTCTTGTAGGACAACTGTGCTGTGTCACTGTTTTGTTGATAGCGGTAAGTGTACAGTACAGACGTGTAGCTACTCATAGGTCACCATACCGGTATCTCGCCGTCGAGTTACTGCCTCCTTTCCAGCATGCTTGTGCTGTCGGCGTAGTGGCTGTATTGGAAGGCTCTCGACAAAAAAACAATGCACCTCGACTGTACAAACAAACATCATTCCTAATCTCTTTCTCACCGACAAGAGAGCCTTGGTGACTACCCTTCACACTGCGTCCATTCGTAGTCAAATGTAACTGGAGCGGATGACTGTTTTGCTTCATGGAGCTGGGGACTGGTTGCAGCCAGCAAACACAATTGGCCTCATGCCAATTGGCTCATCCCTGTGCATGGGAGAAGTGTGGTGGCTTCTCGGATGTGATGCTGGCCAAAACAAAACATAAAATGCTTGGACACATAAAGAAAAGGAAAAAAAAACATTCCGACCTTCTTTTTATGTCCATGGTATCTAATGTGCACCCGAGCCTGGAGACCGCCTCACTCCCCTTGCACGCTTGATGTTTGGAGCCACGTGAGCGATTAGCTGCACTGGCTGCTACCAGGGTAGCGCTTCGTGAAGGAAAGCGCAGAGCTGCACATTTTACTTAATTTGGGGCGTGTTAAGTCGGAGCTCCGGAGCGCAAGAGTTTGGGTCAGGGCACGGGATGCTTCTTCGCCCTCCATGACGTCACTTCCATACAACATGGCCGTGCCGCTATGAAAGCTTTCAAGTCGACAGAATGGTCGGATGGCTGTTCTTTTTCATTTGAAGAATTCTATGCTCAGCCAGTACAGACGATTCGAGTGGCAAGCCGAAACATCGACTAGCATTCTGGAAAAAAGGTTTTTTTGTGTGTTGCCTGGGAACGAGTTGCATCCAATGTAGTACTGACGGCGGCAGTGTGCCGACAGAAAAGTCGAGACGCTGGGGCGGTCGAACCGCTGGATATCTGGAGTTTAAAATTGCTTAGCCCAGCGAGTAATGACAATACGAGTGGAAAGCCGAAACATCAGTTAGCGTTTCGAAAAGGATTCTTCACGAGTCTCGTTTGAAAATGATTTAATGTGCAGTGTATTCAACAACGGTATTCTGATCAACAGGCATCGCTGCTCCCACGCTGCCAAATCGAACTTCTTCGACAAGTTTGACAGCTTCATCAGTAATCTAGCCGGATAAAAAAGAGCTTACTTTTTTAATGTAGGTGGCACGGGCATTAATAAATCGGTGACGTCATTTTTTTGCCTTTGTCAGTTAGGCTCCAAACTTTTCAGGAGTTAAAATGTTTATACACTTCTAGTGTCACTGTGTCTTTCAGTTTAATTGTCTGCCGTTGCATGCAGCAATCCACCTATTGGGCTACATTAAATTATTTTATTTTCAGAATCATAGCAGCTTCTGCCACGTGTATGCACCACCGCATTGCACTCATAACAAAATGTTCATGACCGTACGACCAGAAGTCTCACTTTCTTTCAGTGTCCAGTGTCACGCTCTCGGTCGCTATGCTCCATTTAGCTACTGCACTTGGAGTATGAAACTCTGAGCGTTGGAGTAGGAGTGAAGGAGTACCGAGGTTGGGCACATAACATGCCCTTTGATTATGACTGTGCATGCTAAAAGCATGTACAGTCTCCGTCGATATGAAAGACCCACTGGGAGTGCGTGGCCGAGGCGGTGGCTGGGGGGGCGCTGCGAGCGCTCCGGGCAGTTCCATTCTGCTTCGAGGGGAGGACGCTCACTCGGGACTTGGCACAAACTGATAAGCGCGTCTCGCTTTATCTGAGCCCGAGTGAGCGTCCTCCCCTCGAAGCAGAACGGAATAGCCCGGAGCGCTCGCAGCGCCCCCGCCAGCCACCGCCTCGGCCACGCGCTCCCAGTGGGTCTTTCATATTGCCGGAGAGTGTACACTGTGGCAAGTCTAATGGTCGATGCTTAAATGCCATTAACTTGGAACAGTAACTGCATTTTTTTTTTACTGTAGTGGAGCCAATTGGTTCATGTTATATGTCAAATATACTATTTCCTTATGCATTCTCAATGTTTCCTTATTATCAAATGAGGAGGTTGTCAATTTGAACAAGGTAACTGGATTCACTAAGTATAGTTGGTTCTAGCTAAGCTATATATACAGAAGCACTGTATCACTTTAATTTTTTCTTTTGTAGAAGAACTTCTCCACATGTTCGTGGGTCGTGTGGAAGCCCTCTACGGAGTGACTGCCATGACCTTTAACGAGCACCTTCTTGTTCATCTTGCGAACTCTGTCCGTCACCTGGGGCCACTCTGGGCCCACTCAGCCTTCGTCTCCGAGGGTGGGAATGGAAAACTTGTGAATCTTGTGTCAGCAGCCAAGGGACTTCCTCAACAAGTTGTAGAACGTGTGGTGATGATGCAGGAATGGGAGCTTTTGCTTTCCACTCACAAACTGCCGGCAAGGGAGGAGCAGATCTGCCGAGGCTTCCTCGGTTTCATGCCGATTCAAAACGCTTGCCGGGTGAATGAAACGACGACACTTGGCTGTGGGCAACCTGCCATTATGAGCAGTGAGGACAAGTTTGCTCTCCAGCAGCACTTTGGAGCAACTGTAAGCAGTGCTACGCAGTACCAGAGATGCGTCACAAAAAATCAAGTGTAGCATAGCACTTCCTACACAAGAGCCACCCAAAGTGACACCACTTTTGTCTCCACGCATGATGGACATTACTTTAAGATTTTGAAAATTGTGGAAGTAGTTTTGGCAACTGGTTCTTGCTGCGTCCTCCTTTGCAAGAAAGTGGTTCTGAGGGAATTGCAACAGCTTCCAGAGCACATCAAGGAGTGCTTTCTCTCAGAAAGAAACACTGTTTGCTGTGTGGAGCCCTGCAATGTCAAAAGCAGCTGTGTTTACATTGAATTCATTTCGGAAAGCAAGTCCTTCATCTGTGACCTCCCAAATGTTATAGAGCGCGATTAGTTGGGTTCTAAACACTCGTTGATTTAAATTTGGCTAGCGAACCCCTTTGAGTGCTGCGCCTGAGTCACACTCTTATGTTCAGTCCTTGTACGCGTGATATATGTTTTGTTTTGTTTTGCTGTGTGTCAATGAGGACAGGGTTGATACTGTATATTTTGATCTTTCAAAGTCCTTTTGATGTGGTTTATTGTCAATTTCACATAAATTGAATTTTTATGGTATGTGCGCCCCACTTAGAACTTTCTTTGATTTGTCCTTAGACAGATGTGTGTTCTTTGACTGCACTTCCGACCTTACGTTTCAATTTCGGATGCGCCGCAGAGGCCCATGCTTAGTCCAATTCTCCATCAGTGTTATCATAATCACCTAAGTTTAATTGTGATCAAATGAAAGACTGTTTTTTGGCAGATCACACTCTTGCGGAACTGTGAAATGCTTGTGGATGTGAAATCAGTATGCGACATGGTGTTGTAGTAAGGTGATGCGCAATTTTTCTGACTTTTTTGTTAATTCATCTGAACTTGTCCCTTGACCCACATAAAGCGTGCTGCAGTTATTGACGTTTTTATCTGAAGTTTGTAGAATTTAAACTGGTTTGACCTATTTCTGGGAAGAAAATATTAAAAGAATCATAAGAATAAGAATGCTGGCTCTTACTTTTTTGGATTGATGAAGTGTTCTCTAGCTAAATAAATAAAGCTGACCTTTCGTGTGGGCATTAATATGCCATGAATTCAGTTGCAAATAAGTTAGTAGTTTGTAGTACCATGTCTCCCTGTGACAATCGTGAGATGGTAGAACATATATGACAAATAAATAGCTTCAACACTGTTAACACAACCGTTTGTTGCAATATTATTTTGCACAGTGAAGGTTACGAATGACTGCGCTATCCAATTCGCACACCTCTACAAATAAAGTGAAAAAGAGGGGTCAATCTGGTAACCAGTTAGGCCAATCTGGTGACCAGTTTGGTCAATCTGGTGACCAGTTTGGTAAATCTGGTTAC